GAATTCCAAACTAATAGGCAGGAGGTATTTATATGTCCTAGTTATTAAAACTAAGGACTAATAAGTGCAATCACTTCTTTGGTGCCTAAAATGGTTTTTCAGGGTTAAACTAGGACCTGTGACCTACTCTCCAAATACTTCTTCCCTGGACTATTCTGGACAAATCATGTACAGAAGGCTTTCATAAAAACAAATGTGATTGCCAATAATTTGAGACTGAAAAGGCCATTGGAATTCTCATTTCTCTATTAATTTCTTGCATAAAAAGATGAGTATTTCTACTTGTTTCACAAAGGGAGCAGTAAGAGTGAGCTGTAGCAAGCTGAAACTAATACATACATACAACACTATTGAAGCTATCTATTCACATTTTCATAAGGATAAATCACCAGTGTTTCTAAATACAGTGATAAGAACAAGCAACAAGCACAATGTGTTTGTTCTTATGAATTATTATTTTATCTTCAGAATGGAGAAAAAGGTCATCACTAAAATGAATCCTACGAACAGTGCAGACCTCCAATGTAGGTTTTCATTTTTCCGTTCAGTTTTCTACAAGTGAACTTCATCTTCTGTACGATTCTTTTGCATAGCAATTTCAAGGCTGCGCTGCTTTTACATATTCTCTAAGATCAGCACTCCCTGAAATGAAAGCCAGTGAGTCTACACTCTTCAGGGGGCAAAGGGACTCAGCTTGCCGGTATCTGTGTGTAGAGTTGTCCTTCTAAGTACAGGTGAAAGACAGGCAGGCCACTGATGAAGGTTGCACAGGCTAGCAGAGACCTACGACGGGGACGAGGAGGAGGCTCCATTTTCAGGGCCCTCCTTCCATAGGCAGGATGCTATCACTTACTTAACCTTGTGTTCTTGCCTTTCTAAAAGAGGGTCCCAAGGGAACCCTGTGCCTGTGTGCCACCAACCTGTGACAGCGTGCTACAGGTGCCATACAGCGGTGTGATATGCACCAAGGTAATGGTGCAAACATCCCCAGCAACATTGCCGTGGTGGGCCGTGATGAGTAACAATGCAAGAGCTGCCTGAGCACCAGTGCCCCAGTGAGGCACTCGGGCGGGAAGTTCTCCATCAAGCTTGCGCAAAGACCAGAATTCTTGCTGTGTTAAGATCCGGATTAAAGGTGTATGAAAGGAACGGCTCATGCAGAAACACATGCTCTTTGTGTAAGAAAAATCCCATGAACTTCCGCGGGAGAGAAAGAGATGGTGCGATGGTTGCTCCTGATGGTCAGTTTAATGGCATTAGAATCACTAGCCATGAAACCAGATCTCCTGGCCTGTTTGTGAGGGAACGCTCGCTCTAGATTAGGTTAATTGAATAAGGAGGACCCACACTAAGTGTGGGGCACCATTCCACAAGCTGGGGGTTCCAGACAGTAGAAATGAGAAAGCACACTGAATGCCAACATTAATCCCTCTCCACTTAATGTGACCAGATGCCTCCTGCTCCCACAGTCATCCCTTCCCTGTGGACTACCCCATCTCCTAGCTGAGAAAGCCCAATAACATCTTCCTTACATTGATTTTTCATGTATTTAGGTGCACCAACAAGACAAATAACTAATACAGACTGTGGAGGTTTCTAGTTCACTTCCGTTGCCTATGTCTTCTTGCTCTGATGTGGTGAACCTCAGTAGAGGGTAGACACCGGTCCACAGCCCACACATAGGCTTTGTCTGGTGTTGAGTGAAGCCTTTTCCTTGCCAGCTGCTTTATTTTTTCCCCACCAGTCTCCTGGGCTCTGCCGCATTGTAGTCCCCAAATAAAACACAAGACACTGTATTAATTATGAAGCTGTTGGCTGTTTGCTTGGTTTCTTACTGGTTATCTCTGACTTAAGTACTTACTCCATAATTGTTAATCTAAGTATTTCTCTTACCGGAGAAAGGGTCCAGACTTCTTACCCCTATGGCAGCTACATCATGACTCTCTGTGTTTCTCCTTCCCAGAGTCCTCCTAGACTCCTAGTCCCACCTATCTTGCTTCCCTATTGGCCAGCAGTGCTTCATTGACATTTACACAGGACTTCCCCATCTGTCTGGAAAGATATTTGGGCATCTTCAGAGGGGAGAAGGAAGTGAAAGCCCTACCTTTAGAGTGACTCCCCAGCCTTTGCAACGAGGGCTTGTGAATGGAGCAAACGAGTCATTGTTCAGCAATTGCCTTGGCAACAACTGATTATAAAGGGAGAGATGCTATGTGGCTCTGTGGCGCAATGGAAAGCGCTTTGGACTTCTAGTGACGAAGAAAAGGGATAGTCAGCTATGCTCAGTGGCATGTGAACAGCATTGCCTGAAGACAGCCACCCCAGACGCATGTTGGCGCATGTCAGGAGAAGCAATAAACTTGACCAAATTCCATATGTCTTCCATCCAGTTGGCGGTCATATCGGAGTTTCATGCAACTCTCTGAGAGTGTCTGAAGAGGCTGCCACCACACTTGGTCTCCACATTTGGAAAACATAGAAAGCCAGGGGGAATGCAGAGAAACCCAGTGCATGCCAGGGCAGGCGCCATGTAATTAGCAGAGGGACTAGCTCGGATACCCGACCTTGGCTTTGGCTTCCGGCATGTCAGTGAACCCAACCCCACTGCAGAGAGTCATGTAACATGCACTCTGCTGACTGGGGGAACTCTGAAACCAGAGCCATAAAACAGAAGGAGCTCACTGAGAGGAGCTGACAGGCCGCAGAAGTGGTGTTATACCCTTAGCTGCCGCCCTGTCTGCCTTCGCAGAAGCTCAGGAACCAGGAACCTTGGTCAGCGTGTTACAACTCACTCCTCCATCCTCATCTTTGTCCCCAGTGGTAAAACACGCTCTGCCTTTATTATTTTTTGGGGAGGGGCCGTATGTACCATGCTGAAGCACAAATATGGAAACTTTTTTAAAAAATGTATCTGTTTCTGCTTAGTTAGAATAAGGCAAGGCTCATCATGTAGGCAGATCTAGACTCTCTGCCACCAGAGCAATCATGTGGTGTGCTGATGGGATGCTTCCCAAGCCCACCCCTGAACTAATGGGTGGACACAGAATTGATGGGGAAAACTGTTCTGTATATATGCTTCTCTCATTGGTTGATGAATAAAACACGGTGGCCAATAGAGGCAGGGAGACAGGCGGGACTAGGAAACCAGGAGAATTCTGGGGAAGGTAGGCAGAGAGGGCCCGCCACAACAGTTGCCATGTAGGCCACCAAAGGAGTAACAGGTCCGGATCCTTCTCTGGTAAGATAAGACCACGTGGACATACTTAGATTAATAGAGATGGGTTAATAATTAGACAGAGCTAGCCAATGAGAAGCCAACAGTTTTGTAACTAATACAGCATCTGTGTGTTTATTTGGGGCAATACGGCTGTGGGAGTCTCCACAACACAGAATCCTTTTCATTCCTGCCTCATAAAAATAAAATATGTCCCCCTGGGGAGCAGAAGTCCTATGAGGGGAGCTTGTGACCATGTTCACTGAAGAGAGTTTCCCACTTTAACACCTGGGGGCCACCCATCAATAAGGGACTTGCCTCTTGTCATTCAAATCTCCTTTCTGAAAGTCAGGGCTTATTCTAAATTATGCCCTTGCCAGATTCTCTGTGATGTTGACTCCATAATACAAGCCTTAGTAGAGACCCAGCATCACTCACATGGAAAACTGCCTACCTGTGACACAGAGAGCCAAGGGTGTCTCCTGGACAGCATCATCTCACCGATGGCCTTTAAGTCAAAGCGGTTTGCCTGGTCTTGGAACTTACTGGATCTGGTATCTGGGGGAAGATATTAGACGTGACTCCTCCTCTAGAGGAGACATCACAGGCCACTGGGTCAAATGTCTATCATTGCAGTAAGTGACCAAAGGGAAGGGGGACTCTCTGTGTGCCACAGGTCCAGAACTAAAGACCGTGTCCCAGACCCAGAGACCGTGTGACCTGTGGCTGCTCAGCCAGTGACAGTCCAGCTTGGAGACCAAGCTGTCACTGGTTATCCGAGTAGGGAAATACTGTCCCAATTATTAGCGAGGAATCATTCAAAGATGGGGAAAGAGCTTGAAGGGCCCAGGTGGCAGAAAGTTCAGGAAGAGGGGTGGCGTGGCCTGAGGCATCTGAGACAAAGACACAAGAGTGAGATCTTTTGGTTGTTATCTGAGACAGAGTCTCTGCACTCCAGGCTACCCTTCAGCACACAGTCTTGGCCTATTCGATGCTGATTGCAGCCAATTTCCCAGTCAAGATGAAGAGACCATTGACTGACAGTGCTGATGGAGGTGTTGCTGCCCCCCAAGCCTAGAGGGGACTGCGTTTGGTGGGAGTCCAGCAGGAAAAGGGACCGTGGGAAAGAAGCTGGCTCTGGTGACTTGCAGAGCACTGTCAGGATCCGCCATGGAGCGACAGTGGGGGCCCTGTCCTCCTCCGAGGGCTGAGCAGGGTCTGCTGGCGGAGCAAGCTGTGCCCAGCACCGCAGCATCTAGAGCGGATGAGCCAATAGGCAAGTCCCGGGTTCTCTTAGTCGCCACCGCATCCTCAGGAACAGGTCTAGAGCCTCCTTCACAGACCACAGAGTTCCTGAGACCCGCCTGAGAGTCAGCTGTGCGTCCGTAGCCAGGTGAAGTGTCTAGCCCTCCACTCCACCCTAAGCTTACCTCATCCCTTAGCAACTTCCTAGTACTCCGAGGTAGTCTCTGGCATTCCCAAGAGACGGGTCAGAGGTCGAGTGTCCTCCCTTCCACCCCCGCCCAGGCCTCCAAGTGGCATGATTCCATAATCTCCTAGCTACATTAGAGGGGTTTCCACTTTAGGTCTCCCGGTCACTGATGGCATGGGTTGCTAGGCCGTTCTGGAAAGGCTAGTGTGGGCTTGGAAGACAAATGATGGTATCGGGTGGTGGTCAACAGCTGAGCTGTGAGACAGTCACTGTGCGGCCTGTGTATCTTTGGCAAGCACAAGGCACACCCTCAAGGCTCCATGCGATCATTCATTTTGCCCGCAGGTGAAAGACGGAAATAGAAACACAGCAGAAGGGAGTTAAGAGTAGGGCCGGCCAGTCTTCAGCAGCTGGGTTGAAACCAGTTTCTGCAGTTCTCCATCTCCAGTGTCCCAGGGAGATCTGGAAAGACTCAACTGGACTGGACTCACAGGTAGGTGCCAGATGTAGGGAGGGTGTCAGTGCCTTGTCCTTAGCTTGGAGAATTTCTGCTGGGTAATGTCCCAGCACTATTAAGTTTGAAAACATGAACCCCGCCCCCCAGGTAGCCTTTACAGAACCATATGGAGGGATGAGTCTCAAGGAGAGTCTGGGCCACATAGGCAAGGGTTCGTTGTCTCCAGGGACCATTTGCATGCTAGGAGGAATTTGCTAAGAAAAAAAAATTTAGTAGCTAGCAAGAGGAAGGATGAGGCATGAGACCCAGTGAACGTTCAGCTTTCCTACTGCAGTGATACTGATTCTTGGTAAACATTCCTGTTAAACAAAGCTTCGCACGTGGAACCCACGGGTAGAGTTGACCCACAGGGCCATTCATCCTTAAGACAGTCACAGAATAGGGGAGAGGAGCTAATTACCTGCTCCAGAAACACAACAGGGAGTGAACAGAGAGGAAGGGCACAGCCCCCGGCAGGCTAGACATCAAGCAGAATTCGAATTAAAGCATTGGGGGTAGTAGCGGAGGGAGGAGGGCAAGCAGAACTAGCTGGGGAATCGTGAATCCTGGGTATTGTTCATTGTGTGGTGATTTGCCACGATCCAGAGGAGTTACCGCTCATCCAAGTCTGGACTGAGTAGGAGGGAAGGGATGTTGGTAGCCTTCAGCTCAGCCTGTAGCTCTTCCGTGCTGAGACAAGGGATATCGGTATACATGATGTTTGAAGTTTCCCAATTTTACTTCCATGGAGTGCATGAGGCAAACGCCACAACTTCCAGGATTGGGTTTGGTGCATCTGCGTGTGTGTGTGCGTGTGTGTGTGTGTGCGTGTGTGTGTGTGTGTGTGTGTGTGTGTGTGTGTGTGCATGTGTGTGTGCGTGTGTTTGTAGATCTCTGTGTGTGCATGCTTGTCTGTGCATATGCGTGGAGGTTAGAAGCAATGAGGTGCCTTCTGCAACTGTTCTCCACCTCACTTTCTGAGACAGTCTCTCATTGGTGCTCGGCGACCCAGCAGTCAGCTGTCCAGCAGTCAGCTCTAGTGACCCTGCTGTATTTCCTGCCTAGGGCTGGGATTATGGGTATGTTCTGGCACACTCAGATTTGCATGAATACTGGGATCTGAACTCAGGTCCTCATGGTCTTGTGGCAAATATTTTGCCAACTGAACCCTAAGAGGTTCTCCTCGTAAGATTCCAAGAGGAGATGCTCTGCAACTGGAGAGTAAAACGGGTACTAGGGAGGAGCTAGTTAACCCACAGATGGTCTTCAGTTACTCACTCCATCTTTGGGGAGAACAGTTCTAAACACAATTCTTACTTATATGTACCATAAGAAAGAGCTGATGTGGACCTTACTGAAAGGTCTTTGGTTTATTAGGGGCATTGCCTTGAAAAGGGAATCCTGAGTTCTAGCAAGAATAAGTAAGCAACTGCGAAAGTAAACCCAATCCATGGGTCGTTTTTTCTACCTTCCTGATTTGAGACATGGTCGCTTCCCTGGAACATGCCCACTAATAGGATGTCATCTACCACGGGCCCCTCACCAGAGTCCAGAGCCTAAGGCTAACCAAGCTGGGGCTCAACCTTCAAAACGGAGGACTGAATATCCCTCCTCTGTGAAGTCAGTTTGCCTCAGCCCTTACAGTTAACACCAGACCGACTGGGCTTGGCTGTTGTGTTACTCAATAATCTGCTGAGCTTAGCAGAGACCCGGCTTCCTCCTCTGCTATTACAATTGACCTCACTGGGCTGGGGTTGCAGCCAGTCTGTAGAGGGCTTGCCTGGCATGCACGAAGCCCTGGGTTTCATCCTTAGCAGTGCGTGGATGGCAATGGTGGCACATCCATGTCATCCCGGCACTTGAGAGGTGGAAGCAGCGGCATTAGAAGTTCAAGGTCATTATTGGAACTAGCAGCTCCGTATGACATGGTACTTGGGAAGTCGTTCCTGTCTCAACAGGGCATGAAGGGGTTAAGTCCTCTCACGGATAGGCATCATAATAGAGGAGATACATAAATCGTGGCCCCTGGTACGTCAACCACACTCCAGTGGAAGATCACACATCCAAGAATATTTGGGCAGCACAAACTGATCTTGGTGAGAGTTTAAAGATAAAGAAAGATACAAATTTGGATGGGCATAAAGGGAGAGGGATCTAGGGAAAATTGGGGAGTGAATATTATCAAAATATATTATATGAAATTCTCAAAAAAAACTAGTAAAAATTTTTAATGAGTGGCATAGAACAGTCCAGCCGTTGGCCTTAAGTGAATACTACTTCTCAATCGAAAGCGGAGAAATGTTTTTAAAGGTAGTAGACATGCTATTAAAAACAAATGGCAAGATGAGATTTCAGGAGATTATAAACTAATTTAAGCTTTTAAAATATAAAGTACAGACCTGAGCTCAAAAGTATAATTTGGCCAGACAAAATTGCTGGTAATTTGCCTTCTCTCAACTGGCTTTGCAACAAAACACCAGCTCCCTCTTTCCATTTCCCCTGCTCTCCCTTTCCTGGGCTGGGTCCTTGGAGAGGGTTGCCACGTTGTCCCTGCCCAGGGCTGACTTAGCAAGAGGAGAATGTGCCTGGCTCTTTCTGTCAGGGGCCTCCAAGCACAGTCTTCATGAGACCTGGAAAATGATGCCTAGTCCCAGTGGGGAGCGCTAAGGGTTTGCCACCCCGAGATCTCATACCATAACCATAGTCAAGGTATTCCCCTTGCCAATGACTGTTGGCAAAAAAAAAAACCAAACCTTTTTTTTCAAGACTTGTCCATTCAAATTCATCAGAAACCAAAGGTGTCAACTGAAATAAGACTTTTAAATTTTCGATGCCTTCTACTTCCGCCCCGTTAATGTGAGAACTAGGACTTTCGTGGCTGTCCCTGTCGCCTCGCTGTCCACTTCCTCCTCACTACCTTCTGGGAACCCAAGACGCCTCTATTCCCCCAGAAACACTGCCTCCTGCAACACTGTTCCCACTCCTCTATGGCTGCTGTGGGGCCATTGGGACCATCTAGAAGCTTGTTAAGGAGGAAAAGGTCAAGGTGCTTATCAATCCAAATGCTACCTCGTTCTAGACATTGACATACTGGTTAAAATTTGAGAAGAACCGTCTGGAAATTTCCATTTCCTCTTTGCGATAGATAAAACAATGGGCACAATTGGTGTCTTCTCCCAATTACTCACTGGGGAAGCACCTTAGCCCATTCCTCCTTCTTCTTGGCTCTCCCTCCCTCCCTTTCTTCCTTCCTTCCTTCCTTCCTTCCTTCCTTCCTTCCTTCCTTCTTTTCACTTTGTGGACCTGGACATCGTCTTTCCTCTCTGTCATTTGCTGAAGGTGAATCTTGTGTGTGTGTGTGTGTGTGTGTGTGTGTGTGTGTGTGTGTTGTTTTTTGAGACAGGGTTTGCTCTGTGGCTTTGGAGGCTGTCCTGGAACTCACTCTTGTAGACCAGGCTGGCCTCGAACTCACAGAGATCCGCCCGCCTCTGCCTCCCGAGTGCTGGGATTAAAGGCATGCACCACCAACGCCCCGTTGCTGAAGGTGAATCTTGCCCACCGTTTTTAACTGGTCCTTTGATAGAGGGGCTCCGTTCTTGTCTTCTTCCCACCTTCACACTCGGGAGTTCTATCAAGTTTTCCTTGTGTTCCCCATTGCAGACGTCTCAGCCTGGTCTTTAGATCCATTTTAACCACCTCACGCCAAATGCCAAGGTAACTGCTTGGAACTTTAACCCCGGCGTTCTCAGGAGTCTGGGAGGATCCACATGGAAACGTACGTTTTAATCAAATTCAGCACAAGACTTGCCAAGTGGAGACTGCAGTCAATCAAGGTGTTGAAAGTAACTCACCATGGCATTTAGGATGTGTGGAGTGGGGATATTGGGCATCCGGAGAGAAGAGAATGCGACTCAAAAAAGGTAGACATATCAGTGGAGTAGAGTTTCCAGGAGAAATGATGGACAGACAGGAAACAGCCAAGGGAAGGGTCATGGAAGGATTGCAAGCCCCACCCAGGTTGTTGCTTCAGCAGGGCAGGACTTCTGGACCTTCACAGTGGGCCTCCTGGGTCAGAGAGTGAAGATGGGTCATCCAGCTTTTCTATATGGAGTCAATTGCTAGTGCTAAATTCATTCATTGAAGACCTAGACTGTACTTGGAAATGAAATCCTTAGAGGTAAGGACACCATATGGTGACCACGTGAAACCATAAACTTATAGGTTCCTTTGTCTCTAAGAAGAGGATGAGGCCCACAAGCATCACAAAGAGGGAAGAGAGCGTCAGGAAACTTCTAGGAGGAAAGGGGGGTCTGGAAGCTAGAAAAGGGATTCTTGGAAGAAGCCAGTCAGCTGCCCCTTGCTTTGACGCTGAGCTTCCAGATCTGTGGAGCCGTGCTCTGTATCAGCTGCTCACATGTAGAACTGATCGTCACTGACCGGCTTCCCTTTAGCTACCCATCTGGAGCCTAATACTCTGACCGCACTGTGAGGAAGAACCAGAAATGCCACCAAAACAACCAAGCACCCAAACTTTAGTTCCATAGGGCTTCGGGGACCATGACAGTATGCCTTCTAATAGTCCAGACTTGCTTCTCAATGCTCAGGGTCACACCGGCTTGAATGCACCCCAGGGCTGGATTCTGAAAGCCTGGTCCTCCTCTATAAACCCTGGGAAACAGAAGTCCCTGCTGCTTCACTTGTTCCAAGAATTAAATGGGGTGACTGGAAGAGGGGGCTCTGCCAGACTGGAACCATGCAAGGTGGCATGGCATGAGGATCTACACTCAAAGGATGTAACAACATTCCTACAGCCTAGGCGCCTGAGTAGAAGACGGCCAGTCTACTATAGCGTGAAGGGATGTCCTCCCGGCAGGTGAATGGCTCTAGTCTGCCAAGATACGCATGCCTGGGTCCTTATGTCCTGCACCCTTTAAGGGTAGTGTCCTCATTTGGTCATGCCTATTTCATGGCTGCCTGTCTAGGAGCTAGTCTACAAAAAGATAGAGTCAATGGGGTGCACATGCCCATTCACACTTTAATTTGCAACATAAAACCAAGTTCTTTCCACTTTGCCTGCCCCCCGTTTTGCACAGCCATCCTGTCTTGGCCCCTCAAGTCAGAAACAGAGCTGTGATGGTAGCCATTATACGAGATCTTACAAAATTCTACTTGACAAAGACTCTGGAAAACACTGAAGGAAAAGGCAACGCCAATGGCCAGTGCCATGTTCTTGTTGTAGATTACAGGAGCCTTGGAGGAGTTTGGTAAAGACGGTCAGTATTGTTAGAAATTTTCTGGGGGCAGGGGAGTAAAGGCTAACTTCTGGGTAACTTTCAAACCTTGACAAAGTGACTCAGCATTGACCTCCAGGACCAACCATGAATAGTTAAAAGGTTTCTGTTCTAGAGACGCACATGGATCCTATGCGTGCCTACAGCAGATGGGATGCACACTTTGTTGTGGTGGACAGTGACCTGCCTCTGGAGGTTCCAAATCTGTAATACTTATACAGCAGATGGGTGCACACTTTGTTGTGGTGGACAGTGACCTGCCTCTGGAGGTTCCAAATCTGTAATACTTATACAGCAGATGGGATGCACACTTTGTTGTGGTGGACAGTGACCTGCCTCTGGAGGTTCCAAATCTGTAATACTTATACAGCAGATGGGATGCACACTTTGCTATGGAGGACAGTGACCTGCCTCTGGAGGTTCCAAATCTGTAATACTTATACAGCAGATGGGATGCACACTTTGTTGTGGTGGACAGTGACCTGCCTCTGGAGGTTCCAAATACTTATCTGGCAGAGATGATTTCGATGGGTGGGGTGCTTTAGTGAGACACTAGTCCTGACAGTTTCGGAAACTCCTTTTAACAACAGCCTGAAACTCCTAGGAGCCCACCGTAAACAGAAGCCGTGGCACTATCCTTGATTTATGAACGAAAATCCAAAATATTTCCCTTTAAATACAATCCTGCTGAATGGTCTCCATCCCAGAATGGGGCTTCAATCTCCTCCTGCCAGAACTGCTATGTGGCAAGCAGACGCCAGGCTCTGTGTGAAATCCCAGGTTGTCCTTTGGCAAACAGGTCAGCATCAGGACCATTGACGGTCACCTGGGGTTGGCCTGATTCATATTGAAACTCTACCTTTTAGATTGGTTTTTAATTTCCCCCACCTCCTAGGTCTCATTGTTACCTCTCTCCACCACAGGAACCCTGACACTGTCCTGCTTGACGCCCTCTTAGTAGACACCTGTTCCCTATATTTGGAGGCTGCCTGACCTCAGAGTCTGGATTTCAGCTGCCCCTGTTGCAGTTCTCAGTGGAGGCTTGCTCCCTGTGTTTAGAGGCTGGTTTTTACACTCAGATAGCAGCTGCCTGACCTTGGAGCCTGGTTCCCAGCTGCCATGCTGTAGCTGTCAGTAAGGCCTTGTCCCTGCTCACAGAGCCTGGACTCTGCTTGCCACGTAGCATTTCTGGCAGGAGGAGATTGAAGCCCCATGCACTGGCAATGCTCCCGGAACTGCAGGAAATCTCTCCGTGTTTGTTTTTGCTCTTAACAGTCAAAATTCTGTGACTCCAGAATGATTTCCAGGAATTACAGTATGAGAACTTAATATGTGTGCTTTTTATTTTCTTCTTCTTCAAAAAATAAAAAATAAAAATGAAGCCAATGCAGAGGTCATAAGTGGGTGTCTGCATGCTGGCATGTGTTTCTGGGTAGCTGGCAGAGCATTTGCCCATGCTCTACTCCGACGGGCATTTTCAGTTTAATGGCTTTTCTTCTGGAAGCAGTTCAAGCAGTGAGAATTATGTTGGGATACAAGGTGCAGGAAGGACTTGGGAGATGGCCCTGATTCTTCTTTGTCTTAGAACTCTCAGCCAAATGGTCTGGAGTTCCTCAGCGCTTGGTGTCAACTTTCTCCACTTTCCCACGTTAGAGTTACTGCAGTAAAAACTTCCAGCCTTGACAACCATCTCGTGGTGGCTGCTGAGTCTCCAAGCGGGACTGTGGGGGTATCTTGGTCTGAGGACTCAGGATGAGCCAAACTTGGCCGTGGGCCCTTGGAGAAATCATCTGGCCAGTTTCCTCTCTTTGTCATGGTTTTATAAAATGCCACTTTCCAGGGGACCTGTCATCCTCTTCCCTACAGTCTCAGCTTCTCTCTTTGTTCCTTTCTCCCTTTATTGGTGTAGCTCTTCCTGGCCTCCAAGGTACCTTTTATTCATTGTATCTGTCTCATTTAATAATGCCCTTATTTATCTCACCGGGATTTGTGTTCAAGGCCTCTCAAAGTGCTTGGCATATAAAGGTTTCCCCGTAAGCATTTGTGAATGGATTGACCCAGAAGCAGAGTTGCTTGGCAGTTGCAGTATGGGGTTCTGCAGGATTTCCATTATGAAAAGGATCTCAGCTTGCAGGTGACTAGGAGAGTACTGCTGGGCTCTGTCCTGAGCTGGAGATTGTCCACATAGCTCTTCTACTCAGAGGTCGGGAAACTCAGTGGAGGATGGGGGTGGGACAGAACCATTGAGATGTTTCCCCAGAGAATTCCGTGATTTGTAAGTCCGTGAAAAGGTAGGTAACCCAACCAGCTCTTAGAGAATCCAAGTCAAATCTACTGTTAAGAAAACCAAAGAAACAAATGGGCAATGATAAGGCTAGGTAATTGATGAGGGCAATGATGGCATTGATGGCATTGACAATGATCACGCCCATGGAGGGGGGAGAAAAGAGGAGGGAGGGGAGGGGAGTGGAGGGAGACAGAGATGAGGACTGCAGGGGCTGCAGAGACACCATTCATGTGTCAGAAGACACGGTGTAACGTGTAAATGTCGAGAGGAGGTAACTGACCGGAAGACTATTTTCTTCAACCACGAAGATGAGATGAAGAATTCTCAGGCAAACCAACATTTTTTTTTTCTGTACCAGCCTCCGCCTCGTTGTTCCATTCAGAATGTTCAGCAGGCTGAAGGAAAATAATCCTGGGAACCCAGATAGAGGGGCGCCCAAGGCAAACCCGGGTCACATTCCGCTGATGAAGATTGGTCCAGTTCTGGTGACACTAAAATAAGACGGAGTTAAAACATGTCCAGATTAGCACACAAGGGGGGATGGGTCGTGACGCCATGCTGAAGTGTTCTAAGGTCCTGGAAACAGCGACAGCTTACATTAATCAGAATTAAACTCGGAATGCGTGTCTTGCTCTTTGGGTGATGCTTTGGAAAAAAGACAGTAAAGGATGATAGTAATTAAAATGAGCACACTTGATTAATGTAGAAATAATGAAGCTAGCAAAGGGAAAGTAATTGAGAGGGGTAAAGGAAAACAACAGGATGAGAGAGTCTAAATCCAAATATAGTGGGGATGATGTTATACTAATCCATCAAAAATATGGTGGACTAGATTGAAAAAAGTAAAAGAAAATATTCAGAGGTCAAAGGTAAGGAAAGATACCATCGAAAGGGAAGACATTCCTAACATTACTAGATAAGAAAGATGGTATTATGACATACATTTTTTTTCTGGGAATGTCCTTAGAAGATGTACTGATTATCAATATAAAAATAAAAGTTAGGTTCCGAATTAGTAAAGGTCTGTTTAGAACATCTAAAAGTGGCTTCAAAATACATAAGGCAGGAAGATGGCCACGAAGATAAAGCTGAGAAGCCACAGCCACGTGAGAGTGATCCAGTAGTGTCACTGAGGAGACTGGCCACGACAGACCCCAAGGAAGCCCAGTAACAAGCAGTGGGGGTGAGGGACCCCCACCTGGAAGACCACCCGGGCCTCAGGCTGTTGGAGCCACCAGAACACACTAAACTGAGTGGAACAGAGCAGAGGCTTGCCTCTTGGTTATTGAGGTGGTACATCTGCTCAGAGGGGTGTCCTAGGAGCTCCACGGGGTGCTCCGGCGACGATGCTTTCCCACACCCCTGTTGTACGCCAGCTCTCTCTGTTCCAGTACAGTCGCCTCGCTATGGGTCACATGGTACAGAAGCCCAGGAGCCCCGGGAGGTCCCTTCTACAGGGGTGTCAACTGCAGGCTTTCTCTCTTCTATTCCACACTCCCACTTGCGCTGTTTATAAAGACAGGGATTCTAAGCTCTGCACGTACAACTCCCTTCTAGAGGATAGTTTTTGAGCTTCCTTTGTAGGAGATTCTCATCGAATACTTGTTCGATAGTGAGCAGGGGGTGCTCTGTCATCCAGGGATCCATAAATGGATAAATGCGATTGGACTATTGGACACCAAATCTAATGTATGTTCTTTTTTAACATTTATTTATTTATTTAATTTATTTATTATGTATACAGCATATGTCTGTGTGCTCTCAGGCCAGAGGAGGGCACCAAATCTCATTACAGATGGTTATGAGCCACCATGTGGTTGCTGGGAATTGAACTCAGGTCCTCTGGGAGAGCAGGCAGTGCTCTTATCCTCCAGCCCCCAATATATGTTTTTAATTAGACCTTTGTTCTAAAGAAATTCTCAGAGGAGGTATAATCGTGTTTCTGTCTCACCAGCGCCCGAGTCCCTCACCCCAGACATCGGCTCCAGAGGACATGATTGTATTTGATAGCTCTGGTTGTCTCTCCATGGCACAGCAGTGGCAACTGAAAAAGCATTCGCTGCCTTAAACTGCGTTTGCAGGAAGCTGAGATCCAAGAGCTGCCCTTGCTTCTGATCTGTCTCCCTCTCTCCTCCCTCTCCTCACCCTCCTGCCCTTCCCCATCTCCTCCCACCTTTCTCTTCTCCGTCTCTCTCTCTCTACTAGTGTGTCCTTGAACACTTGTAGGGGCCGTCAAGCTTCAGTCACCAAGAGCAGATGCTGTCATCAGGGAGAGCCCAGTTGGAAAGTGTCTGAAGGTTTGTCTCCGTTTTGTTTTTAAAGATCTCAAGACTGACCCGAGATCAGGAGTGTTTCAAAGTGGGAGACGAGAAAAATAGCCTGGAAAGGATCTCCCCTCTTTTCTCACTGCAACCCCACAGAAGACACTCCTAGTCTCTACAAGAGAAGCCGGGGACAAGTGGGCACAAGGCCTGTGTGACGCAGGTGCAGCTGGGAAGTCGGCCGGTCGCTGGGCACATCGGCCTGGCTGGCACGAAGAGGGCTATAGGGAGACAGAAGGAGACGAGTCCTTTACCTGTGGGTGCTCTGGGCTCCCCGTGCTCACGGATCACCGTGGGCATGACTTTCTGTTCTCAGTGTCACCCCCCCTCTTGAAAGCACGGTTGCAGCTGCTGTCGCACAGCTCACCAGATAATGCCCTACATCTGCGTCATCCCCGTGCAGGCTTTGTGGGTCATCCTTTCTGTTGTTTTTTGTTTTGTTTTGTTTGTTTTGTTTTAGGTTGTCCTAGTTCTGTGTTAAAACGTTTAGTTGCAGCTGGGACGGGTTAAGGAACTCGGAGCCGGTGATAGAATCCTCGGCAGGGAATTTTGGCGCCCTCTTTAGGCAGCAGCCAAACCATCCACTCATGTGCTGAGTGTTGTACTTTCTCCTTGTTCCTTGCTGAAAGTCTGGGCTTTCCCTTTCTCTCGATCGCACACTCGGCTGCATGTCCCTCCCTCTTCCCATCACCCGTGGCCCATATTCCTCGTTTGCAAGAGAAGGCGTATCACAAGATAATTTGGCACAGCGTTCTTCGAAACACTGTTACCTTTACTATGGCAACTCAGATAATGGGGTACAGCAGAGATAATATGTTATCATCTAGCTTAGGATCCTCATCCTATCTGGATGGTCCGGCTGTACATCCATGACATCTAGGAATTCTGAATGACACACAGATAAATTTGTACTTATATCTTGTGGATACATTGGTTGATACGAACTTCCATCTTTTCCTCTCAGAGGGCAAAAGGCATTTCTGCGTTCTAAATGTTATGAGAATATGGCTATTCACAGCTAGCATTGCTTAAATCTTGGCAGTTCATGAAATAGGGGTAACCTGACATGACTTGCTACTATGTCCTGCAATGCCAATTTAAATTTCGGGTTTGTTTTCTCTGTTCATGTTAATATTGCTTCACACTGTGCAAGATCTTGCTAGGGAAAACACACTAGCTTAGCACTATGATACTAAAAAAATGAATAAAAGATGTTCAGAGCTCATAAAATTCCTTTTAACTTAGAACATATGCATAGACGATGACAGGAGTATGTGTTGATTTATAGAGACAGTTTTGGAATGTGATAGCTTTCAAAATATTTTTATTGGGCAGTTTCAGTTGCATTTCTGAAATGTATATTCAGATGCGTTTGAAATATTACAGGTGACAGATGTTCCAAAGTACAGGTCCAATTCAGTTTTCCATAGGACCCTTCCAGCAGTTTTCCTGTGTGAATTTCTTAGTCTTCCCTACTGGTTGTTTTGAATATGACTCTCCACTGGGGGTAGGTCGTTTCTCTCTGTCTGGAAAATATTTTTTCTTTGAGCGTGTAGCTTCTGGAAGTAGGCCTATGGAATGAAAAGCAAAAGGCAGAGATACTATTTAGCTTGTCAAAATAGTCTGAAGTGACCAAGAAAGACAAGTTTTAGGTTGGCTGTCTTGCAGGTATAGCCCCTTCTTCCTGGAGAGATTTTGGTTTCTAGTTGTTCATTAAGTTGTTTACATGTATCAGTCAGCATGGGTCCATTGCATTCTGTGCCATCAGAG